AAACAATAGCTGTCATGAGTTACTAATGCAAGTTTTGAAATATTCATCACCATTTTCTTGTTCTGTCTGAAAAGAAATTGCTTCAGCACTCAGAGCTGTGGGAAGCTATTGAAGAGCATTATATCTTTTAGTCTAGCACCTTGCCAGAGAAGAATTGCCTCTGACACCATGCAATTATTCTATTTTAAGAATCTTAAGCAACAGGAATTTCATCACTTGAGTTGGAAGATTATTTAACAGACTAGTAGACCTTATGATATGAAGCATTTCCTATTATACCTACATTCTTCCATTTCCTAAACTTATAGCAGTTATCATTTCTCAACTCATTCTAAACAATCCATCCTTCTTCCAGTGCTCCACACATCAAACTGTTTCACAGTGCTTAACAAAGCGTTTCCCATGTGGCACTTAAAGCACGTTAGAGTCTATTCTGATGAAGTACGGAAGACTAATTTTGTGAGCAGGTTATTCAGTCGATCACTAGAAATGCAGATACAAGCAATGAAAGAACTCTACATCCCTTAAACTAGTAAACCAGAAACTACAGCCTGGGCATCGTGTTATTGTACTGCCTGGGCCACAAGATAATATTGGGAACCACATCCCACAGCTGTGGGCCTTTGCTGTATGACATGAACCCCTTAGGCAGATTTTATTGGGGCAGACACTGGAGAAGCTTCAATATAGTTTATTTAAAATTCCAAGGGAAAATACATGAAGTTAGGTATTTTGTTATAAGTTAGCTATTTAGGAGTTTTTTCCTTTACATTTACACATTTGTTTCACTCCACTCCAAATCACACTGGTTTCGACCTTAACATGACTTTGCTAGGCATTCAATTTTTCTCATGCTTAGCAGAGAACACTCATGCTCCTCTTAGATGAAAGTATCTGAATTTTTCAATTCTAGCCAATTTAGAGTGTAAACAAACCTGACAAGTTTTTTGGTGTACAAAGGCCCCTCTGTCTACATAAAGAATAAAGGTTTAGGATATTATGCCTTTTTAAACCTTAGAGGAACATTAGTAGCCAGAAAGGATGGACCCCCCTCCACTGGTACAGCAAGTTCTCACTGTCTCTGCTTCTCCGAGTTGTTTAATTCAAACACAACAGCCCTTGTTCACAGTATTGAACAAAGAGCTCACCCTGAAGTATTTTAACCATTTCATTTTGAACACAGCAAGACAGCCAGTGGTGAGCCATGGTGAGCTCCCCTGATCCATCCTAGGACCCAGGTTCAAAATGGAGCGCTCTTTGGCTTCTGTCATTACATCCCACCTCTTTCATCAAGGTGAGAAGCTGCCTCAACATGCCACCGTCATCGTGAATGAGCTTCACGGACCCTGGCTCCCCTGTGTGCAAACCACAAGTTACATGTAAGCACCAAAAAGCAGATTTTAAATGGTCAAAACAGACTCGTGACCCTGGCTTGCAGGCCAGTTCCTTGCCACAGGAGCTGGTGAGATGCTGAGTGGTTCGGATGCCAGAGCTGACCCTCCAGTCTCTGCACACAACTGGGCAGGACCTCATTGGAGCAGAGCTCCATTACGACCGAGCTGGATGAGCCACTGATGGCCCAGCTGTCACAGTTGGGGTGTTATCGCCAAACAGCAGCCGTGCTTATACCCATGCTCCAGGGACTAGACCCCAGGAAAGACCAGAGGACCAGCAGGCAAAGTGCTGCACCGCCTGCCCCGTCCCTACCACGGGAAAAGAGCACAATCCCACCGCTGCAAATCCATTTAATTGAGTCAATCAGAGTATGCGAGCTATTGCCAGAAAGTCAGCCAAGGGGCGTAGCGCAGGCTCCGTGCACATCCAGGTTTACTGTTTTAGAGGGGTCACGGGAAGGGGAGAAATCTGGTCAAGAACAAAGCTGCCGCGTCGCAGCTCCATTAACAAACTTCCCCACAACGCAAACATCACGTCTCCTTACTCTAAACAAGTAGAGGTTTACTCTCTAGACAGTATTTCATAGTATTAGTATGCCAAAATGAGACAGTAGTTGAGATTTCTGAAATGAAATGTAACCATCAGGGGTTTGGGAAGAGCTAGCACCTCAAGACATCTGGCAGGGGAGATGAAAGCAAGAACAGGACCTCAGTAGGACCCCTTCAAGAATCATTGTTTCCCCTAAAACACCCAGCCCCTAAAATAAACCTGTGTTTTCCTCTCACCCAGGCATAGTCATCTACTTTTTAGCAACTTACAATACATCATGATTTTTTTTTTTCACAAGATCTTGAGATGAGCCCCTCCATTTACAACAGTAGCAGCCCCTCTATTTATGACATATGCACACTCTTACAATGTTTTCAATTACTTCTGTCTCCCCGACACGCAGAGATGCTGCTTAAATAGGAAATTTTGTTATCATATATGTTTGAAGATTTCTAAAGCTAGATCATTTTGCATTTTCTACCCTACTGAGCTAGGAAATTAATAGGAAAACTTTACCTTGCCCTCTAGGAAGTCTGATTTAGTCAAAGACATGATCTCAGGTAGTAACTACAGAACCAGCTATTTATTTAATTTAAATAAAACCATTCTTCCAGCAGACAGTGAAGTGAAGAAATAATATGTCATGCTAAGATTCCTGAGCTTCGCCCCTACATCCACTCTTGGGGTTGCTTTCTGTGCACGTTGAAGTGCACTGCTGATCTGTGTTAAATAAACTGCCATAGAATGGAAAGCAACGAATTTGTGCTCCCTGGGTGTTGGGCAACTAGTTTAACTCCTGCTGGCACATAGACTATAAATAGCAAAAGATGATACAGTTTCACTAGAAAGTGAATAATTCAACAGGAAGGAAATAATTTTTAATTCCTATCAATCTGCCCTTTCAGGAGTGATGAAGGTGGGTAGTGTTGCCTTTAATCCAAAGACAGCAGGTGATGTTAGGTGTCTTCTCGTGTGATGACTTACCCAAGGGCTGACACCCTAAGCACAGGGCTTGCCCGCACCCACTTGGTAACAGACCTTCTCCTTCCCTCACCCTGGTTCAGGAGGAAGCATTATCCATTTGGAATTAAAGACAAATTAAAGACTTCTGGGCTAGACAGCGGCGCATGTCAGAGGAACCATATCAGAGAGATGACCTTCAGGAGGTCCTCATTCTCTTGCTCTCCCATGTTGATGAAGGGAAAGTAGACCACTCCTTAGAGAAGCTATCTAACTTGTCAGTAAGAGCAGAAGTGATAGGTCCTACCTTTCATCAGGTGACAGGCTGAGCTCATCTCTATGTGAATTTGTACAAGCAGAACACTTGCCTCAGGTAATTTTCATATCTCTCAGAAACATTCTTGCAACATGCACAAGTTGGTCCCAACATCCTAATCCCAACATTAAAGAGGGTTACTATCTTCAACCGAGTGGGCTGGAACAAAACGTGTGCACCAAATACTTCCAGATCCTTCCAGTGACTGGAATATGGCTCCAGTTTTTATGGGCTTAATGTACAAATATAATATAAAAATACACCAGAACTTATATAAATGAAATCAATTTCTTTTAAGATGAATGAAGAGTCAGATGTAACCTTCTGGGTCTGAGATTACTAATGCTTCTTCCAGTTTTTTGAATGGAAATCAACTGACTCAAATTCCACAGTTTGGAGTATTTTCCTTTTAAAGAATTCTCAATTGTATGAACCTGTATGCATCCACTGTGTCCAAGGACAGTGCTGTACCTACAGATGTTATTTTTTTCAGATTCATACCTGAAATTGCTGGACAACAACATTTCTTGCAGAGATGTAGCTTAGATCTAATCAGAAATCAGGTAATTCTGTCCCTGACAAAGGTTTTATGTAACCAAAGACAAAAAGATTACACCACCAGATAAAAGGAAAAGCTTTCCAAAGGGGTAAATGTAGGGTAAAAGCACAAAGGAGAAGAGGTTGACTACCCTCAAAGTGAAGTTTACTAGGAAATAAAGAGAAATGAGCAATCAGTCTAACAGTAAAACGAGATGCAAGCGTATGTTTGGGGGCACTGGAAAATTTAGAACTCCCTGGACACATTAGTCTTTGGCATTTCAATTACCCCGTATAAAAGGGGAAAGAGAAAACCCTTAGGGTTTTTAACTATTTTAATTTTATTTATTTTAATTCATTTCAAATTAATACAAACACTGAAAGATTTAGGAGCCTACAGTATCTTGTCTCCTCTGGTGCTTTATATCACCTGTCCCCCCCGGCCTGCCCCCCTCCCAGTCTGATACCGCTTGCTTTGATATTGGCATGGTTCAGGCTCAATCCAGTCTTCAAAGAAAAATGGGCATGAAAATCCCTCAATCCCCCTTTCTGCTCCCAGCCCAGGGCACGCACACATTTCCCAAGGACTGCATGATCCACTGGGTATTATTTTGTACTTAATAAAATTAACAGTCTTTACAGAAAAAAGGATTTGAAATGACATTTCAGCCACAGGATCCTCCCAAGTCTGGTAGGTCAGACAACAACTACAATAACAGTTCTGATTTCTTTCATATCACTGGCACTGTTTGATTAATTTTCTAAACTAAGTTTAATACACTGCATATTAACAGGCAGGAAAAAAGCAGATGAGAAAGACTACATTGCTCATTTTAGATAATCTTTGTCCTAAACTGTTCTGCATGACTGCAATATACTTACCAAACACAGTTTACTGTGATTATTTACTTACTTCAGCTTGTAAGAAAGGGTATTTGAAGTAAAAACAAAACACAAAAGTGTCTCAGGTTGACTCTTAATGTCATTTTCTTTGCAGCAGGGAAACCAACCCCTTCTAAATGCAACGTACATTCAGCAGCTGTTCATCTATTATTAAGAATATTTTAAAAAAATTACACTGGGAAACTGGGATACCAAACCTACAACTCAGTGGCACAGAAGAGATTAGCGAGCGCTGTACAGATTATGTTGGTCCTAAATTAGACACAAACTCCAGTCTGGACAATCCTGGAATACATCTGTTCAATATCCCCCCGGAAAGAAGGACCCTTTTTGGACTTACGGTTGGTTGTCCTGCTTTGATCACTCTGAGCGCTGTCGTTTGACTGGTTGCTGGAGACAGAGGATACGCTTGAGCTCCTGACAAAACCAAATGCGGCCAGCTTAGCTGCTGGCAACCGTGAATAACCTGGAGGACGAAGTCCAGACTGGCAGGGCTTGGGGAGATTTGATTTTGCAGCACTCGGACATGAGCCTTTCTTAAGATCAACTGAAAGAAGGAAAAAGAAAGAAATTTTTATGAAGTAAACTAAACTGGGACGTACTGACCATTACCTGTAACATCTAGCTACATAAAGTAGCTCAGCTACATAACAGCTGCTCAAACTGCAAAACTTATTCTTTGTTCCACTAAAAAGTTCTTTGGAACAATCATAGGTCGTAAGAATTTTTAAAATGTGAAATGCAGCAAGGACCCATGAGGCATAACTCAAACTTCCAGCAAAGTAACGCAGTTCAAGTCTGCTAAGATTTTTTTTTAATGTTATCTTCTTTTATGCTGTATCACTTTCTAATTTTACATTTGTTATGTGCCAATTAAAAGAAACTCTTACACAGAGACAAACACGCTATGCGTAGCCTCCAATTTTGGAAACTCTTGTAGAACGTCAACAATCCTCTTCAAGGACAGAGGACTTCTTTGTATTCCATCAAAGAAAACACTTCTTTGAAGTCTCTCTCTCAAATTTTGCTAAAAGAAAATGCCCTTTTCTTGCACCAAGCCTGGGAATGAGGATGTGACCCGTAAAGTTGTACTTTTTAAACAAACCACCAGCCATTGCCACTGATGGACTTCTCCTCACTATAAACCACCAGCCTATGTGAATGACATCAAACAAGTCTCAGACAGTTGCCAATAGCCGGCTTGTAACAGATGAAGTTAGGCGACAACAGTCATTCAGCTACCGTGTCCGCCTCCGGTAACCACTAATGGGTCACCTGTCTCTAGCTTGTGTCCTAACCCATGTTCTGGTGCTCTTGCTTCGGCAAATTTTCCTAGGTAAATCCAGAACATAGGTCCATAAATGCTCCAAACTGTCTTTGTGGACCATTGGTCCATGAACATGGCAGGATTGTCTTCAAGGACCAAAGATTAGAGTTTGCTTTTGATTGGAAGGTCTGGATACCAAGTGGCTCTGGACCTCAACTGTACATAAAATTTGGACAGAGCTTTTATTTGTAGGTTTGACAATATTAGATTCCTGTTCCGGAATCTTGAGCAGCAAAAATATGTATTAAACAAAAAAATTAACAAAGTTCTCCAAAAGCTGACGCTAGAGTGTTTAATCGGTCACCAGGACCGGTGGGTTAGGAGACAAGGCAGCATTAAAACTACCAACATATTCTACCAGAAAAGGCCACAAAGTCATTCTTTTTCCATTCTTATTCAGTGAACACTTTGTGCATTAGCCTGACATATACTTCAAAGGAAGAAGTGAACATTCATAACATAAAAGAAAAATAGAAATTAACTGCACAGTAAGAATATAGTCTTCATATTATTACAGTATTTAATTCTTCTGTAAACTATGTAGGTCACAGCCTTATTAATTTTAATGAAGAATTACACTTTGAGGACACTTTATAGAAAACAAGACAAACTCCTTTGAGTGGAAAAACCTTATGGGGATTTTGAAAGATACTCGTGTATCTCATCACAATAATAATACTAAGCTTTGTTTAACAAAACTAAGCCCTTTTTTTTGAAATAGAAATACGTGTAATACCAAGCTAAAAAGTTTCATTATCCTATAAAATACATTCCGATACAAGTCAGCAAAAAATGCTCCTTGATTAACAGACAAAATCATTTATATACTATAGACTCTTAAAAAATGCATTTTTTCGTACCCGCTTGTCACAAGTTGAGGCCTTTTTTAAGACACAAGGAGATGGATGTCTGGTTGCAGCACCTTTACCAGCTCAGAGGAGGACATGTTGTGCAGAGTAACTCAAATGAAAATAACAAATATCTACAGTGTGTAATAAAAGACTGCTAACATCACCGTTCACTTTTCTGGCACCAACAGGGACAAATCTAGACTCTGATCCTGAATCTGGCTTCATGTGAATGATGTGAAGGTGTGCTCAGAGGTAGTTGTGGGCTCCAGGCTCAGGTGAAGAGCAGGCACGTGGGCATGGAGAATAGATACGCAGTGATGTTTACCATCAGTTTACTGCCAGGCTTTGACAGTGGTCTGCTACAGCTGCTTTATGGTTATCTGCAAAGCACCATCAAGCCAGACCTCTTCCCTCCCCACTGCTGGGGACATTCACGCCACATCAATATGACCCCACTGCAAGGCACTACAGAACCTGATCTCAACGTTTCCCTCAGTGCTACCAGCACAGATTGCAATTAGTGTGAATCACATTAACTGATTTTCATGGAGGAATGAGAAGTGTCCAGTGAAAGGCTTTAAGAGTCCCAAATGCTAGAAATGACATGTTAATCATCTTTTGGACGTGAATCACGTTAACTGATTTTCATGGAGAAATGAGAAGAAGTGTCCAGTGAAAGGCTTTAAGAGTCCCAAAAGCTAGAAATGACATGTTAATCATCTTTTGGACAGAATCTCTCTATTTGAGAGGACTAACACCGTCCTACATTAACATCTGCTCCACAGCGGGACTCAGATTGGCTTATGCCAGCGTAAGGCTGCACTTTTACCATGGAAGGACGATCCTGTGCTCTTCCACAATCGGACTCGTCATCCTCCCACCAATACCGATACAAACACTTCAGCGGTATTTTGGATGGGCCAGACCATCTTTCTTACCCAGCTGGCTGCACAGTCATACGCTTGCTAGTAGTTGGGCATGGCCAACCATCAGCTTCGCCAGCTACCGAAAGGACTAATTACAGAAGGGCAAGTGCAAGTGATAAAAGGCACACAACTCAGTGTGCAAAATACTCCCTGGGTTGTGTCGGTGATGGGACCAAGCCCAGGTAACATCCAGATTTGAAGCAGAGGTGAGTACCCGTGGCAAGTGGCTACAGGAGCAAGGAACCTGCCCAGGTTGGTGGCAGCAGGGAGAAGGTATGGGACTGTCTCTTGTGGGTTTTACAGGTTCCTGAAAACTGCACCAACAGGCTTGCACTATGTAAGCTAAGAGCTGAGATTCTCTTTTCCTGAGAATCTCTGAAAATTGAAGTGGAAGGAGAAATCTTCCCATTTTACAGCAAAAAGCTATAAACATCACAGATTTCCTGCAGCAGAATAGGGGAAATTCCACTGGGGCAGGAAGGGAAAGTGGTTAGAAATGGTTTTATTTAAAAAGCATTTGAAATGCGCTTGCTCTAGGGCGGTGAGGTTCACCTGGGACTCCCACATCCCCACTCAACTGCGGGGATGCCCACGCTGAGTCCCCAGGCTGTCCGTTCTCTGCACCGCCGCACGACCACACGGCACACCTAGCACCACGGATGTCACTGAAGAAGGAGAATTTCCTTAAAACCAGAAGGTTTTTGGTGACAAATTGCCCAGCCAGCTCTACTTTTTCTTCAAAATCATTCTCCCAGACCCGGGCAGAGGATTCAGTGTTTTTTCTCACACTTCCATGCATGTTTCAGTTTATGACTTCAGTTCAAATTCCCCCTGAACTAACGATATTTTGTATCTTGAACTCATCATCATCCTTAAATTATTTTTCACTTCTCTTCTTTGTAATCCAGCTCTTCTGTACCACGAGGACCTGGGGGCAGGACATTATCCTTATTAGGGATGCATTCAAATCCTTAAAGCCAAGTAATTTTGCATCTTCTTTCTCATTAAAATACATGAGACTATTGTACGCATTTTCTGTTCTAAATATCATCAAGTTTTACAATGGATGTTCTTTCTTTATTTCTGTTTCTGAGAAGTATAGAAGCACTCCTGCAAACAAGGTCTGGGAGTTCAAAACAAAAGTTATTTTAATGAGCAGCTTTCATTTTAATAAAAATATGCCAAAATAAGCTTAAAAAATTGGCAAAAAACGCTTTCCAGCTGTCTCACTGCCTGAAGCTAATTATAGAATTAAGTATTGTTGTCTGTATGGCACGCAACTGATTTTCTATGACACTTCAAGCTGTTCCCATCTAGAAACATGAAAACATTTTGAGGTAGCGACTGATTGACACAAACCAGATGTGCCTGGGGAGCCTTAAGAAAAGTCTGAGCTAGACTTTTTATGCATCTCCACTGCACATGAATTGCACCTCCATGCACACATATAAGCAACTTTAATGTGACTTCTCTGTGAAATCTGAAATAGGTTTCAGCTGAAATGAATGAAAAATTAAAGAAAGGAGTTACACAGATATGTTCTTATGAAAAAGAATAGCAGTTCAAGACTTCAATGCCGCTTGCGATTCAGGGATCCTTGGCAAGCCTTTGTTTTCTTGGGATGGGGTTTTTGGTTGTTCTTTTTATTTTACAAGCATTTCCATTAAAATTTTAATCGTTAAGTGTCATTTTCTCTCAGAAAGCTCACTTTCTTTTACAGGATGCTCTGAACATCATTATTCTCATTTCATATTGGGGAATCTGGGGCAAAGAAGTTACCTGCAAGGTCACTGAATTAGTCAGAGGTAATACAAGCAGAGTTAACCGACATCATCACTGATATCTTCGCAGATTAAAAACATATTGCACAGGTAAGAAACCTATCCTGTTGCCACTACCTTTGTGGTTTCCTTGTTATAGACAAAATGACTTCTCTCCGAACAAGAACTGAGGAAAGGGGCTTTAAAACAGAGGCTTTAATGATTTACACCTAAAGAGCAGCGAGCAGGTTGTGCCCAGCTCCCCTGACGGTCTGTCATCGTCAAGCCTGGGACAGTTCAGTTCCAAAGGCAAAACAGTTGTCTGTGCTGAATATCAATTAATTTCTGATCAGCCAGTCCACTGTCATACGGTAGGAAATGCTCATCTCCTCCTGAATCAGATTTGAAAGCCCCCACAAGCTGCTCTGTGCCTTCCCAACTCCCAAGGCAAGCCAAGGCTGGTTAGCACACTCTCACCACCCCAAGAATTTGTCAGCTCGTGTTTCATTCAAACTGAAAACGTCTGTGTTCACTTTGTAGTCAATGTGCAAAGCAGCAGCATCCCACAGAAACTTCCAGCAGAGGAATTGTCAACACCTGAGCCACACTCACTGCATTTTCCACAGAAAGCCCAGAGCAGCAAGGATGCTCCTCCGTGCACCGGAGCCACATCTCCTCTGCCCAGCTTCCGCTACTCGGAAGCGCTGCGGGTGCCCAGCCAGCGATGATGCTCGGCTCTCCCCCAGGAGGAGGTCGGGTACAAAGCGTTTGCCTGCTGCTGCACCCAGATACTGATACTGTTCTTATGACTGCCAATTTGGTACAACAGTCATATAGACAACCCTTCTCACATGATGTATTTTGGTGCTTTGAAGATGCAATAATTGTTGGGAGCAGAGAAGTGGCATATGGCTAAGTCGCAAGTATGGTGACAATGTCCGTAGCGAAACTCTGTTGAAGAAGTGTGTGTCTCCCTTTGAAGCACTTAATTTTTCTTTATGAAATACAGTCAGATTGCTCTCCCAAAGAAAACAGAGAGTGCCAACTGAAAACACTGCATATTAGTGGAGCACAGAGAATACTTTCTGAATTCTCCCCTTGTCAGCTCTTTCCTTAAACAACTAAGAAGTTTGCCAGCTCAAATCCAAGTACCTCAGACTGTAAACCTATAAAATAAGCACACAGCTGGAGTAGCAGTAATGCAACATTTCAGGAAGTAACCTCAAAATCCCTTTTTTATCATCAAATTTCATTGACTTGTTTTAAGTATTAGGTATTCCTGAGAATAAAGGTGAAAGCAAAGCTTTCCTACCAGGAGAAAGCTGTAGACATACTGTAGCATTCGTGATGAAATATATTACACATATGAAAAGACACATATAAACGCATATATCTGTGTGTGCGTGAGTAATCAGAAACATTGCTGTCCTGATTTATGTATAAATTGTACCTTTAACAAGAGTCAACTTGCTTAGAAATGAGAGGAACTGTTAGACCCTCAGGACTGGCAAATTTAATATACAGAGAGGTGACGAGGAAATAACATTTAATTAACTCACTCTTTGAGAAAAAATACCATAAAAACTACCGAAAAATGCAGAATTAAGTGATGTTTTAATGATGAGATGTCTGTTATACTTTTCAAAATCAGACATTAATCCCATCAAAATAATCAGCTAATTAATGCAAATCCTAACTGGCTTGCTCCAGGTCTTTATAACCAAGGAAAACATATTCATAGTTTATGTGTTACAGGCACCGTATCCTTCAATGCTTCTTTTGAATTACAAGGTTCCCATAGAAAGGGCAGAGTCGATTTACATAACATAGACAAATGTTAAGCTCTCGGAGACAGTATTGCACCTTGAAATACATCACGATTCAATGACTTTCTAACTTACCTACAGCGCAGAACACTTTTTCTTACAGTCAGGCTGTTTCCTGCCCCATTTGAGGTAAAGCATCACCTAAGGAGCAGCACTGCTTAATAAGGGACTCGCAGCCAATGCAAACACGTGTGCCCTGTCCTACAGACGAAGAAGGATCACCACCCCAGTCATATTTTAGGCTTCACACTTGGACATCACCCTTGTGGCATCATTCATTATTATTTTACTTTCTACCTGGTGTATCTTAAAGCTAATGAAACCTTTAATGTACTTGCACATCACAGCAGTTCAGGGATTTAATTATCAATTACTTTAGAGTCAGTTTTATGAGTATTAGTATATTATATGCGGGCCAAACCACTCAGCTTATCAGTGCTGCTGAAACAGTCTGCTACATTATGAATGGCATGGCAGAGGGGAATAAAATCCTCATTATGAGGCACTGCTTCTGTCCTCGATACTGTGCCATGGCGATTTCAGTTTAAAAGCCGCCGTGGCACCTCACACTTCGTCACGGGATGGCAACTGCCTGGGTCCTTCTGCTTCCATTACCCCAGGGCAGGACTGAAAATCACCAGGATTAGAAACTGGATTAAAAGCTCAGGATCAAGCTGCAAGAGATGCTGATTAGCACTCTTGAAGGCAGGACTGATACCCTTGACAGAAAAATACCTCCTAGTCCCCAGTTGATTTTGCTGTGGTCAGCCAAGCCCTCACACCCCACAACACCCATGAACGAGGGTCTTATCAGCTCCTCTTCCAGTATGCCGACCATGCCATATGATCATGCATTTCATTTGCTTATATTTGTAAACATGACTCTATCGAAGCTGCAGTTAATCCTGTTTCTCAAATATTGCATCAAAACCAATAACACAGATTAAAGTTTAACACCACAGCTAACTGTCGAATTAAGGGAAAGTGGTTGACAACAGTGTTGGGAGGGTCTGAGCCCCTCCGGTCAGCCCCACACCAGCCCTGGCATGCCAGGGGTTGCCGTCCCATCCAGCCCCTCCGTGGCCACCAAAGATCCATCTCTGCTCTGTGTTTGTGCACCAGCGTGGACTCAGTCACAGGAACCAGTTCTCCGCTACCCTTCCACTCCTATGCCAGTCTTGTCCTGTCTGCTGTCACTTCAGCCTCCTTCCTGAACAATCCATGCTTCTTAAAAGGAACTGTTAAAGATGAAAAGACTGGTATGCTGACCTATGAAGTTATACATTGCCGAGAGAAAGACTATCATTCGAGGTATATGAGGTAAAAGGCTTTGGACAGGGAAAAGGTGATTATAAGCCAATGTTGAATGGATAATTGGGATAAAATGCCAAAAATAAAAGAACGTAAAGTAACTAATATAAGATATCAGAAATACATGAAAGATCAATAAGGGGAGGCATTGAATCAACAGAGAGCAATGAGCAGTACTTTGCAACAGAATAAGATGTCACAGAAAAATTAAACACGTTCTTCATCTCGCAAGGAAAATGGAAGGTGAGACGCCAGAAGTGAAAACAATGTGTCCTGGGGTGGACAGTGAAAAACTAGAGACATTAGCAACCTCTCCAGAACAAGTCTTGGGTAATTTAAAATCAATACAAACAGTCAGAGCCCAAAGACCAGATGAGACACACTTTGGGATCCTGAAAGAGATGGCAGACAGATTATCAGACTACCGTGAATTATCTTTAATAGCATCTTTGAAACAGCGAGGTATCAAAAGACTAGAGAGAAACAAACAAAATCACAGTTGTAGGAAGGAAATTATGGAGAGCTATGAATTAAATTTGACCTCCAAAGTAGACAAGGTCCAAGGAATAATCAGTGATAAGATCAAAAAAACTCAACTTTTGAGAAATAGGAAAACTTTAGGAAATATAACTGTAGTGGAATAGGAATTGCACTAAGAGCTAGTGCAATTTCCTCATGTATACTTCTCATGCACCGGCATTTTTAAGGGCAGTATTACAGAGAATATGTAGGACTGATAGGCTGACACTGTTTACATTTTAGAACGTCACATAATATAGGAAGACAGTAAATTAATACATGCGAGTTCCTATATGATTAAAAAAGGCTAAGGAAAAATGACGTCTGCAGTCATCAATGATGCAGGATAATAAGGATGATGGATGAATAAAAATCAAGGCAACATCCATTTCTGAGGATCAGAAAAGACAGTGGATTTGTCAATAGGTCATATTCCTCTCATATCTCTCTCCCCAACTGGTTTCTGTACGCAATGGCTTACCCTACTCATATCCTGAACTTGCAGTCTCTTGCAGTTTCACTTAAAAGGAAAATATGATCCAACTGCTCTCAGCACCTCTATTCCCATGGTCAGCGCTGGCTGAACTCAACCCACAGGGCTGAACTGGTCTTTACTATCCAGCGTGCAATCTTGGAGTGTCTCAGAAGTCACCTACAGCTGAGCTTGGTCAGCTTCTGCTAATGGCATCAAGGCAGAACAACTCCAGATGCAGGGTGAGATAGGAAAGGATAGCGGCAACGGGCACCGTGTTACAGAGAACCTTGATTTTCTGATAAGCCCCAAATCCTGGCAACCTGTATTTCTGACTGGTACTGTCCCCTCAGGGTAAGTCAAGATGCTCTGACCCATTTCCATCCTAATTTTCTCTAAATTTCTTTTGCAGTTTACTATGGAAAAATGGACAGTGGGGAGAAAGAGTAATAGTTTTCAAATACCTGCAAAGAAGAGAAGACCCCACATCCACTCCAGATAGAAGAGGAAGTAAATTGCAACAAAGGGGATTAGGCAAAGCACTAGGAAAAACTTTTAACTTGAAAGCAGGTAGTGCATTGGAGCAGCCAGCTTTCAGAGCCTGCAGGATCTCATATTGAAGGTTTTTATAAATAGTTTTTCATGAACAGGTTAAATAAACATCTGTCAGAAGGAATCCCATCCTGGGGCAAGAGGAGGGACTGTATGACCCCAGGTCATTACTTAACTTTATCCCTCATGACTATTTTTAAAAATCTCTGCAGACATGTAGGCTGTTAAACAGCTGCTATGTTTCACTCTGGCAATGACTGATTTTCAGTGGCCTCTGAACTTGCTGCTGTTTAAATGTACATTGTTAAAACCTCCAAGCTTTTCCAGACTACCAAGGAGTGTCCTGCAGAAGTAATTATTATCTCTGTCTCGTGGCATTGAACACTTCTTCTTCCGACTCTTCCATTGCTTTTCCCTCCCCTGTAATTCTGCCCAGGCTCATGCTGAGCTGGGCAGTAACTGGGAATAAAAAGGGATTAGAAATGTTGTCTTCAAAGAGGTGTATACCAGGGCTTCAGAGAAACGAGATCTCTGCTGGCACATCTGAACACTGCCCAGGCTCTCAGAGCTCAACATAGTAGGGAACGTCATATTCAGATTGAATGACAGGGTCTTCAGGATGGAAGAAAATGTCCCATTATCTTCTGCAGGACAAAAGCAAAGATTTTTCAGCCATTTACAAGGAGGAGGAAGATAAAAAAGAGCACAATGAGAATTATTACTGAAATTGCTTCTCCTCCTTTGGCAATGACCTGTTAAACAACCTTTGTGCGAGTCCCAGACTCCCTAGTCAGCCTTGCTACAGGATAAAAAGACACACCTCAAAGAGTGCTATTGGAGCTTTGCAGTATCAGGTCAAGATGTTGCTCATTTTGTGATATTTCTGTCTGGAAAAAAAAAATAATTCTTATTGATAGCTACAGCTAAAGGAAAGAAAGTTCATATTTTACCTGAAGCATCAGGATGATAGAGGCTGGGAGCACTCGTTATCTCTCCTTGCTGATGGAGACAGGTACCTGAGGATCTTTGACTTGCAATGAGAATCCTGCTCTTGGCAGACGGTAACCTGGAGACTGCACCCAGTCCCAGCTGTGGCTTCAGTATCATGGTAGATCGGTAAAAACTTGGTGGGACCTCATAGTGAGTATACGGCGGAGGGCAAAATTCATCTTTCGCAGGCCTTTCCCCAACCTACAGAAAAGTCATTAACACAGGTATTATGCAATAAATCAATAAATCCAGAAAATATGGAGCTTTAAATTGCTTGTAAAGGCTAATTTTCCCTCCTTGTGAATCTAGGCTTCAAAGCACTGCAGGCGGATCATCGTTTTCAAAAAGAGACGGTTTTACCATATGAATCGCTCTCCAAAAATATGCACATTACAGTCAAAACGCAACTAAACACGAATAAAGAATTGATGCCTTCCCCAAAAGAAAATAGACAAATGGAAGGTCTTCAATTAGTGAAAATGAAGTTACTGTTAAGTCCTGAAAGGAGATATTATTTAGAGGTAGATATACCAAGAGAGCGTGTAAGTGGAATTTTTATTAGAAGTTATTTAAAATAGTCTTACTGAGACACAAACTTGGGGGAAGTCAGTTTTAACTTAGTTAAAAACAAAGCTGAAGGTATTTTAGGTTAATTTTATCAGAGAAACGGTGTTGTCAAATCATTTGTGTGAGGAAAAAAAAAAAACCTCTACATGTTCTTACAGAAAAATGTTCATTGTAATCCATGCCCCTGAAGTTGCTAAAAAGAAACCTGGTTGTGGAGGTGGGTACATTTCTGTACATTACATTTTCAGGGGGCTGTTGAATATTCAAAATCAGACCTATAAAACCCAGCCACCCATTTGAACTGGAGAAAAAAAAGCAAATTTGCAGATGTGAAACATTTACTGTTTATCACAGGTAGACACCGCTTTGCCAAAATCAGTGACAAATCTCTCCGTATTTTAACAGGCGTATACTGTGAGGACAGCACAGTACGTTCCAGGCTGGAAGTATTTCCAGCAAACTGGCTGTTACTGGGGAACTTGCAGTCAGGGAACGACCTGGACCCCCAATTCAGCCCTTGCATCTTTCTGTGCTCAAGCTGGGTTCTGACTCCCACCTCGCTGGGCTGCTCTGGGACTCGGGACAGGGATGCAGAACAATGTCAGTAGTTTTTGTCTCCCTCATTTGCAAAGAACTGTTTGTTTTTCTGCGTAGAGTCCAATTTCTTTACCATTTTCTTATAAAATGCAAAATCATCATAATGTAGAAAGGACTCACGAATATTTTGTCAGTGCATCCCATTTAGGTCACAGGGAAAGAAAAAAAAAGGAAAGGAAATAGGAAATAGGAAATCTGAACTAAATTTATTTAAAAATTAATCAAAAAGAGCCATAGGCTACCTAGGAAGAAATGTAACTGCCAATTAATTAACTGTGCTGTAAGTTATGATGCATATAATATGGCAAATCAATTTCTATTTAGCAATTATAAGCATTTAGAATATGCACTTCAACATTGGCTATAAAAGCTTTGATCCTAGCTGCCTCAGGAGCTTTAATCCTAATTTAGCAAATCTTTAATATGCTAAAAGAGACAAGATTGGCCTTAAACTATTAAATAAAGAATCTTTGAGGCCTTTGCACAGGAACTAGAAGGGCAGATGCAACAAACACTGAGCATTATATTTTTGCTCTAAATTTTTTCCTGTGTTTGCCATCCTATTTCCTGCCATTAGATCTCCCCGTTTCCTTTTTTATTACACTCCTATGACTTATTTCTACAAGTTAGGATGCAGTTTTTTACTGTATAGATGATTCTTTAGACTTGGACTGCAGGAGATGCTTAGCTTCTTAGTTTCAGCTTCTGGATATGAGACTGTTTTCCTGGATAAGATTCAGTTACCTTTTCTCTCCCTGATGAATTTATTTCAATCGGATTCCACTATACATTTCCTATCATTTCATATTTAACTGGCAGTGAACATACCAATGCCAAGTACTTCAGTATAAGAAATAGAGAAAAATCTTTAAATGTAGAAACCATGCATTTTTGATAAACTGGGTCAGCTTAGCCAAACCTTCAGTCAGCTCATTTTTTTTCATTATTGACAGTATGCTAGGAGTAACACAAAAGGACAACAAACATGCACAAAAACCCAATCAATCACAAGCATAAAACATTTTCTCAAGCTGAGAGAAGTGAGAAGGACTTAGAATTGAATCATTTAGATAGGAAAAGACCCTTAAGATCATCGAGTCTAACTGTAATTTACGCAAATCTCTCTGAAGAAATAGATGGTTTTTTGAAGAGCTCAGTTTTAGGGGACATAAGTTTGCTATGAAAACACATTATTTTTTCTTTTCTATTTAACAGTGAATTTATAAAATGTAAAATTCAATTGGCCTCAATACAATTGTATGCAATTATTGATTATAAGACCATTTGAAAGCTCTTCAGAAAGATGTGGATCAATATGAGACCTGTTAGCATCCTGTAATAGATTTTTGTATGACGGGATTTTAAAGAAAAGATCTGTTGCAGCAACTAAAAAGAAGTCCAGCTCAGAGTTTTGTTGTGTGTGGCTGGCTGCTCATTCCCCACTCACCCCATTTAATGGATTTGTTAGAAAGGGCTGGAAAGTCTGCAGCAAATACTTGGAGCATGCAGGAATTTCCACAGGCTGGGTAATGCCCAGCAGAGCTGGCAGCACAGTCAGCAGGTAAGGATGCCCAACACTTTTCTTCGTATTGTTTTGTTTATAACATCATCAAACATTAATGCCTCAAGCAAGAATTTTCTTGTCAAGTGCCTGCTTCAGGCAACTATTGGGGAAAAGAGTTGGTGACATTGGTTTGGGCAGTTCAGATAATGGGATTAGGGGGGAAAATTGCTGGTTTGACTACGTATTAAACAACTCCCACTACCTCTTTTTCCCCTACAAGCCTTTAGTTTCACCAGGCTCTAGTTCACCAGCACAGCTACAGCCTTCGGGTCCCATGGGTTGCTCTGTTACTTCCCACGGAGGGAACTGGGAACACAAAGTGGCCACAAATTCCCACTGGTGCTGGCTAGAAGAGGCTGAGGTCCACGTTGGGATGAGGAGCCCACGTTGTGATGAAGTATGTGGATAGCAGCAATCTGCCCCAAACAATGACTTGGTTTTTTAAGCATTTCACATTGAAAGGGGTTTTCTACCTTTTTATTTTGGGGACAAAGACAGGCGTGAAAGATCTACCTCCACACCATGCCCAGGTTCCAAAGAAAAGCATTCGAGGAGCCGCCAATGCCAGAGGCAAGGCTGTCCATTTAACCTTAACTCCAGTTCCATGATGGACCCAGCCTCTAAGCACAGCTGGATTGCCTTCACGCCTGAGCTGGGATTTTTGTCTGAGCTGCCCTACGTGGGCTTTAGCTCAGACCGCTCACAGAGCTCTCCAGGTCTTGCCTTGGACTCTCTCATCTGAGACAGCATCTCCCTATTTTTTCTAGCTCATGGCACCCAGACAGTTCTTTAATTGTTCCTACCATTTAGCTAGCTGATGGGTCCTTAGAGATTACAAGTCTGATTGATAGCACCTATTAACACTCCCTATCATAGCTATGTAAAGAGCTATAAAATGCTAATCAAAGCGCTCCAAGGCCCAAACTGGATTTATGAAATAGGGCAATTTGGGATTTTTCCTCTCACAAAGACAGTAGCCATCCTGCCCCAGCATCTCCTTGTCTCCAAAATCTCTGCATCTTCAATGCTGTCCCTTCACCAGGGTGATTTTGATCCATCTCAATCCAATCTATTGGTTTCTTTCAGACTACACATCAGTCATCTGCCATGAACCCATACTGTGCACAGCTGCTGTTATAAGCATCTGTCCACTTCCATGGATCAATCATTTTCCTTTCTCTTGATCCATACTGGAGCCAAATCAGTCCCCTTTGCATTCCTCTAACTGACAGGAGAGTAAGGCAATTGCTTTTAGGGTGGCAGCCCAAGAAAGCAGATACCACCTTCTGCTATCAGCTCCTGACTCCTGGACTAATGCAAACTCATAATACAAACTGCAGTTTGATTGACTTTCCCTTCCCAGCCTCTCCTCCAGGCAATCCAGCTTCTCTGAAGAAGCAGCTTGCTTGAGTTCAAATCTTTCCTCATGGAAACACCCAAAGTCATATTTCTTGGAGGAGTTGGGAAGGATGCTTTGGATCTTCTCCAGCCCATAAGTGTCCTCCTTCTAACCCTAGTCTAGAGTAAATTGTGCTTCAGACTTGCCACAACCTGAGTCCTTCTCAAGTTGAGAACAGTCCTCAGCGGTGCACTGAAATCGGTCCTTTGCTCCCAGATGGGTTTTCTTATCCTGCCTGATTATCTGAACCCCAACTGTATGGGTCATAGACACCTATGGTCCTCAGAGGGTCATGTCATCCTATAAACAGTCAAACAGCTGCACAATCCGCATTTCTTTGGCTTTAATTTCCATTGCCATACATTAAATGGTAATAATCCAGTAATTTTCCCTCACCTTACGAGGCGATTGTGCAGATGTACTAATAATGGCTAGCACAGACAAGTTCACAATGGCTTTAATAATTCCTCCTCTGCATGCAAAATATAAGGGACAGAGCTTAGTTAGAAGTGAAAGGGCAGCGAGCACTGTTATTTCTGTGTTTGGGATCAGATGGTGCTCTCTGAAAAACTACAATCCATGATCAGTTCAGTAGGTTGCCTGTTAACACGCCATAAAGGCCAGTCTACACTCACACATGGTATCTTAATTTGGGTATTGGTCAGCTTTTGATTGTCAACACTGTCACCAAATCTATTATTTCAATGCTGTTCCTTGGATAAATACTGTATGTAGAATGAGGCAGGCATTAAAGTAGCCTCAATAACACCATGAGACACACAGCAAAAAAAAATAGTAATTTTTTTTTAAAAAAGATTGCTTCAAATGAAATACACTTGTGTTATCTTCACTATTTATATGAAAAGCTTGGTTGTTGAGCTACCACAGGTGCCAAGCAGCAGACACAAGGGCATATCACAGACCCAAATGTAGCTCCCTCTTCCCTGTCCTTTCTCCACTTTCCAAGCAAGGTCAGCCTTCCTCCACTGTGCTTATCTCCCAGCAGGGATTTCAGGGAACCTGCCCATCTTATCAAGTTGGAAAAAAAATGAGGTATCAGGAGCCAGAATTGGTCAGAAGGACTTCCATCACCTTTTGGCTGCTCGGGAAGGCTTTCCAGGGAAAGGAGATTTCTTATTTGAGGCGCAGGTCAATGTAACATATGGCATTAAAATGACTCAGAAGTAAATCTTTTCCTGTGTGATAGATATAATCTAACAAGAGCTCTGATCATCCCTGGGTTTCAGTACAGCTAAACAGAAGGGTATTAGTTTAGACCTCTAGTGCTCTGCCTGCAAAAACTTGCCAACTTTCCCATTAAGAAGGAAAAGTCTCTGTGGGCAAATTACATTCATTTCCCAAAGCTATTCTTGGGGAAAAAAAAAAAAAAAGAAATATCATTTATGAATAAATTCAAACAGCATGTCTTTTCCTTTCTAAACATCCCTATTTATACTACTAGCAGGTGACTGGTTTGCTGGAAAACATTGGAGGAACACAGTGACAACTTCCAGTTGCCAGAAGTGCCAGAAATGGTTAAGTAACTTTATTTCTAATGATCACGCATTGCCTTGACTTGACTTATTTCTTATCTGAGGTTTGAGAATTGACTTCTGGCAGCAACAAGTAAGCAAATGATCATCACCTGGCATACAGAAGAACCTGTCAAAGCTGCCTCCTTACCTCCTGCAGAAACTTCTCGCTCATCGGACCAAAGTGATGGCCCGGTGGCCTGATTCCTGACACCACCAGTCCAGAACTGAAGAGTCTTGGCTTCTGGAGGTCAGGTTTAAATTTGTCATACAGGATGCTGGCAGGCTTTGCCTCTCCTCCGTTGGATGCCTTCTGCTCCGTAGAGATGGACATGCCACACGCAGGGCTACCAAAGGGCAGCCCTGCTGGTGCAAACGAAGGGTCGAGCTGCTCTATCGAACGAGGGTTTCTCCTAATGTATGTGATGATTTTAGGTCTCACAGGTTTGGGCCTGGGTATGGCAGGTTTCATCTCGATGCCTTCTTCCAGCTTTTCACTGCAGTCACTCTCCTCACTCGCCTTATCTGCGAGGGAGCCCTTGGAGTGGACCAGGATGGGTTTGGGGATGGCACTGCTGCAAGCAGTCTTGATAGGCACTTTAGGGGATATATTTAACAACTGTGTACTGTCGATGGGAGGTAGGACTGAGGAGGGCGACAGTTTGTCAACATGAAGTGCATAAAGGTCCTTCAAATTACTGTTTGATAGTGTGGGCTGACTATTAACATCCAGCGTCACCACCGGGCGCACGGGAGTTGGGACACATAAAAAGGCATCAGCCTTTGCCGAAACGTTACAGCTCTCTGGTGCTTCCTCGGGAGGATGTTTCTGTGCATTAGCTGTCTTTTTACTTGGAACTGAAAAGCTCGAGGTTTCCACATCGCTGTCGCGGTTGTCAGGTTGTTGGTTTGACGCTGTTTCTGCACTGCGCGCTCCGTGCTGATCTGAGAGATCAGAAGCAGGCACAGCATCATCTTCCATGCTTCCTTTGACTAGCATCAGTTTATTCTCATTAACTTTCAAGGGTTTGCTGTCAGGTAGATTAATGTTATGTATAAGAGATATCTGTTCACCAACCGTTTCAGCGCAACCTGCATCAACTTCATGTAAATTTTCCTTTTTTCTAGGTGTCACTTTGCCACTGGATTTACTACCGCAGGTGAGTGGGAATATTGTTTCCACTTCTCTGTCAGTAAAATATTCCTCATCAACCTGGCTAGTTGCGCTGCTGTCACTGTCATTGCCTCCTCTCCCTTCCTCACCAATGGTGATGTTATCACTTAGCAATTTCTCATCGGGATAGGTTCCCACCTGGCTTGACAATGGATCCTCTACTTCATTGCAGGTGTCTTGAAAATGGGATGCTTGAAATTTTAATGCATCGGTCCCAGAGCCTTTCTGCTCCTGCATTGCTGTATTTTGATCTTTCTGACATCCCAGGAACTCTACCAGCATAATTCTTTCAATCTTTTGTTGACACGTATTTTTAGATTGTAGAGATGGTGCAGTCTTCAGCTCCAGTTTTTTACTTTTATCACCCTGACCTAACTGTGCTTCTGATTTACTAGCAATCTCATTGGGCTTAACAGCTGAATGCTGAGAATGAGAAGTATGCAGTGTGCTTTCAACGTTAACATTTGGTACATTTTCTGCTTTACTTATTTTCTTGTTCCCTGAGGTAGATGGTTTGGAATAAAATATAATATTTTCCTCTGAGGTATTGTCAAGTGGATGAAACACCATCCCAAGAAAATGATCCGTGGACGTTTTTTGTGATTTCTCTGTATTCCCTATCAAATGGTGAGACCTGTCGATGGAGTCCAATGATGCAGAAAGAAGACGTTTACAGGACACAGGGCCGACGCAGTCTTTTGCAAATGTTTCAGATTGAGGAGAGAATTTACTTGGTCTTCCCAAAGAAAGCCTTTTTATTCTCTCCATCTCCGCAGTCCTGGACATTTTACCCTTAGAAAAGTTCTGGGTAAAGTCAACATCACCTTTGGGAATAACCTCCAGGTTGGCATCATTTGTGCTACTTTTTAAATTGGACAGACTTTGTCCTCGACTAATCCTGACATGCTTTGATATATCCTTAGTTTCGCTGGTCCTACAATCTTTCCTGATTTCCCTGCTTGTGGTGGGGGGCAGCTTACTTTCCTGTACACCAGTGTGACAGGTCCAAGAGTCTTTGAAGGTCAGAAGTTTATTCTGCTCTGTATTCAGATGACTAACTTTCTCTGATCCTCCAGAGTGTATATTCCCACTCTCATCTGTCAAATCACGTTTCTTAACATCCCCTTCAGTAGTTCTAACTTTTGTCAAAATTTGGTTGGCATTGGTATCCCCAACACTCACTATGCTTTCATTGTTATTTTTTATTTCACTGCGGTTGTCCTGAAGCTGGGCATAACATGACTTGTTTGGGATTAGCGGAGCACTCATCTTGAAGCTTCAGGTGACTGCTTTTTTGGCAGTCTTAATTAATGGAAAGCTTTTTTTCGCTATCAGGTTAGCTATTATGCATGCTTCAGTTATATGCTTAAATCATAAATTGATCAGTAGAAAATTCCTCGCCAGAAAGTTTGGAGTCTCTTGTCAGAGTCACATTTTTGTGCTGCTCAGTTGTCTTTCATGCAGCCTCTGGACCTAGAAAATCTTTACGACGTGCAGTACAGAGGTTCAACAAAAGCAAAATAGATCTGTCAAGTTCCCTCTGAATGACAGCCAGTTAATCCAGCCAACCTACGAGAAAAAAAATAAAAACAGAGAACATCACACTGATGTCAGGAATCCTGCTACCTAAATCAAAGTTAAAATCAAGAGCACTCCCAGGTACATCCCCAGGATAGGGCATTTTCAAACACTTTAGGTGCTGTTTCCATCACAGCTTTGCTCCCAGCAAAGATTTTTAGTGTAGCACTGATCTCTGACTTGAGAAGTTACACAGTTAAAACTGTCCTGGTTAGAAAAGTGGTTGCTAGTCCTTTTAAGCCACATAGACTTAGATCTGGAAATAGGCAGGAAACAGGTGCCAAGAGAGCAAAAACTATGGCTGGAGACCTGCAAAGAAAAACTATGTTTTTCTAAGACAGCTGCATATGTGTATTTTCAAATATAGAGGACTACACGTCTCTCCCAGTACAGTGCAGCTCCTTCTGGCTCACTCCCACCTGGGGCTTTGGGAGCCCAGATTTTGTCCTCTATCACCTCCAACAAGATGAAGGGGAAATTTCTGCCTATGCCATGCCTGAATTCAATCTCGAAGAGATTTCTGGTACCCTGTATGTTCATACCCTTCATGATAAAGAAATATGGGCACTGGAAACTGGAACATGCTCCACAGTTCCCAGAAGGTAGAATTCAAAGCACCTGCAAATTAATTTGCAAAAATTTGCACCCGCAAAAGAAATAAAAAACCCAGCTGTGCTGGGTTTCTAATCAGGGGTTCACAGGGGCACTAATTAGAAGTGCTGATTAAGTCCGCTGCTCTGTCTACAGCATCTAGGCGCAAGTCTGGGCCCGTGTTTCTAACACCCGCTATAACCAGGTCCTCCTAGCCTCCGCATTCAGTTCAGCTCTGCTCACAACATCTGCCTCTGAGCTCAATCCAGTTTCTTTATATGGCGCGCACACACACGTGTTGGTTGAGTCTGGATTCAGGCTCCTGGCATGGTTCCAGCTCTTCAGCAAACAATAACTAATTAAATTAATTCATGAAACAGAACATAGTATTAAGAATTTTACTTCAATGACACAGAATTTTATTGCTACAGATCTCATTCGCAAAGCATTGTAAAGCAAGACTTTTAAACTACTTCTGTGTTCTGTCCTTATTCCCAGAGAAAAAAGAATTGAATACTTACTAAATTAGATACATGCATTATGGAGATTTTTTGGGTCATTTCTTGTTGTACCTTTTTTTTCCCCAAAAACTGACAATACCAGAATTTACATATTCAACCTGAAAGGTGAACTCTAAATGTTCTTCACTGGGCAAAGCATGTGTGCTGTTATCAGTTTTGTTAGCTAGGAAGGGGCACTGATGGGCTCCAGAGGGAGCTGAGTTCAGTCCGCTCACGTTTCTCTCTGAGTTGACAAATGACAACACCCTGTGGTACCAAAAGTGAGGGCCACGAAGATGATCCGAGGGCTGGAGCACCTCCGCTGTGAGGACAGGCTGAGAGAGTTGGGGTGGTTCAGCCTGGAGAAGAGAAGGCTCCGGGCAGACCTTAGAGCAGCCTTCCAGTACCTAAAGGGGCCGACAAGAAAGCTGGGGAGGGACTTTGTACAAGGGCAGGGAGTGATAGGACAAGGGGCAATGGCTTTAAACTGGAAGAGGGAAGGTTTAGGTGAGATATGAGGAAGAAATTCTTCCCGGTGAGGGTGGTGAGACAGTGGCAGAGGTTGCCCAGAGAAGCTGTGGCTGCCCCATCCCTGGAAGTGTTCAAGGCCAGGTTGGGTCTGGTGGAAGGTGTCCCTGGCCATGGCAGGGGGGTTGGATTGAGATGGTCTTTAAGGTCCCTTCCAACCCAAACCATTCTGTGATTCTATGAATTGAATAGAAAGTGCAGTGAGGAAAGATTTGAGGAACTGAGAAAAAGATAGAGGAAATTCATCCTCATCTTTCTTGTACTACTTTGTACTGTCTTACCAAAAGTGTCACCCGATGGCCAAAAACTTTAACAGATTGTGGTGAGTTGATCATGGCTGGCTGCCAGATGCCCACCTAGCCACTCTTTCACTCTCCCTTCTCAACAGGACAGGGGGAGAAAACAAGGTGAAAAAGCTCATGGATCGAGATAGAGACAGGAAGATCACTTATCGAGTACCATCACAGGCAAAACAGACTTCACTTGGGGAAAATTAATTTAACTTATTGCTAATTAATATAGAGTTGGATGGTGCAGAGCAAAGACAAAAAAGCTAAAATACCCTCACCCACTCCCTTTTTTTCCCAGGCTCAACTTCACTTCATTCACGGCTCCTCCATCCCACCAGTTGCTCCTTCCCTGCCTTGTGCTCCCAGAGACACTGAACCTCCGGGTGCTATGGCAGTATATACAAATAAATTGGTAAATGATGATGATGATGCGCATTAAGCCCTAAGTAGCATATCAGGCTGATGCATTTCAAAAGTACAAGTAGAGCAATACATTAATTTGCCACTTATTTTCTTCTCTAAATCTCTTACATGGGTTTAGAACAAAGTTAATTAAGGCATTTAAGATTATGAGCGTGGTGCTAAGAGGTCCTTGGTTCCTCTTGTTTACACTGCCCCCAATATGATCAGTAGCAATGCAAATGAAGATAGTTCTGAAAAAAACATCTTGGAAGTACCTGTATTCATTGAAAAGCATCTTCACACACAGTGTGTGAGACAGGCCATGCTGGTATGCTTCAGAGACCTGACAAAATAATTTAGTTTAATGTTGCTGGTACAAATTGATCAACATGAAGGTCAGGAAAGATCTGTCCTCTCTCAAATACAGGGCATTGCACAACCTCAGTTCCCTGCCAGCTGAGATTAACCTCTTAAAGCAGCCAATGCTGACCAGATATATGGACTTCAAAGGTATGTGCAATCACATTGCTTTTAAGAGAAAGGACCATAAAATACTGTCTAGGTGGAGATTAATCTCAAGCAGTGTTAGCATTGCTCCTTTCTTCCTCCAGAGTCAGTGAGAAGGGACGGACGCTTTCGGAAAGGTGGTTCATCTTGTGCTAACACCTTTCAGGATGGACCCTATGCACCCGACCTTCCAAATTTGTCTCTTCTGGTGACATCCAGTCTCAGATTAAGAATGCCACAGACCTGAAGAACCCATTACACCCTTACAATTAGTATCTGTACAATTACTCCAAAATATTTTCTTCTGCTGCTGAATATTGCCTGTTTAACTTTGTAATCTGTTTTACAGCTGCCTTTACAATGAATACACAGAATAATGATTCTATGTTTGAAAATAATATGACTTCACTCTGCTATAGAACGTACTGACAGCACAAGACTCCTGCTAAATTAATATAAAAATATAATCAAGCATCTATGTATGTCAATTAATACTTTGTTAATTCAGTTTTCCCTGTTAAGGAATGCAAGCTTTTGGTGTTGGTTCGATCAATATGCTAAAGACTTACACATAGTGATAGGCACATAAGATGGATAGTTTTGTGTTACATTTGGGAACCTCAAAAGATTTGATCATTCTTCTGTAAACAGCTTCTATTTAAGAAGTTTTGGCTTGGATTTTCTGCAGGATAGTTTATTTTATGTGGCACTGTCCAGGCTCAACTCCACTATGCTCTTTGGAGTCAGTGAGATGAAAAGACTCAGCTGTGCCTGGGTTCTGCTGGCTCGTCTTCTATTTTTTATTACTCACCTCTCTTGACTGATGTTGGCTGACATACACAGATCTAAAGTCACTCCCTGCTGTGCAGGAACGCTCTGAGACGATAGAGATGTGAACCTCCTAACTCTTCAGATACCCTCTTTAGCACAGGAGCAAGGGGTAAGAGGAGTCTCGATCCCAGCAATGGCAACACCTCATCACTTAGCAGCGTCTCACTGGGGACCCTGGACAAGAAACAGGACTGCAAGTCTTAAAGACAGGACATGGTATATATAAACCTTGATATGGGTAAATGTTTCTTGATTCTGTATAGTGCAAAAATGTCCCCGCTGAATTGTTGAGGGTGGAAAATGAAGTTATAACTCTCCATGTCACAGCATCTTGGCAGGATGCAATAAGTATATTTGTGATAAAAACCTTTACAAAGTGATGTGAACATGCTAGACAGTAGAAGAAAATTATATCCACCAGACTATGCTTAGCTATGAATCCCACAGGGAGGATAAAAGTTCAAGGAGCCAGAAACATAATTAAACACTTCTGTTTAACTTCAGCAGTATCGGTTTCCTTCTGAGATGTCTGTCTCTTAAGAGCCTCTATTCTAAAGCTAAGCCCATTTAATGACGATCTAGAAAAGACGTCTACGAGAGTTTCTTCCCATCTGCTATTGCCGTTCCTCCCCTACACCCCGCTCCATCCCAAGGTGCATCTGCCCAGCAGGTCCCACCCTACCCTCTGGAGACACCAGCAAGAACTGGAAGCTGAACTGGATGATTTCTGCCCCATGACACACAGCATGGACCGTATCAGCAGAGCCCAAGTCTGTAAAATGTAGCTGGCTGGAAAAAGAAAGCAGCAGCCTGCTTCTAAATAGGAACAGCAGTGCTTTTTTTTTGGTTAAACAAGCAGTGTATATATTGTTATCCTCAGTAGGCACCGAATAAAAGAAAAATGGTAAAGCATTACCATGCTATTGGCTGTCTGTTTTGCTTCCAGTTTGCCACAAAAATAGAATGGTAATAATTATGAGCTAAGCAAAGGAATTATCAAAGCATATGGAAAAATAAAACTAGAAATTAAGTAATAAAATCT